GCTCGCCCTTTGCACCTGTCTCCTTGATAGCTTCTCCCTTGAGTCCCTGTCCATCTCCCCTGCTTCTGGGGGGGCTTACTGCCTGGATGACGACCGAACCTCCAGCTCAGCTCAGGTGGCCAGTCCCTGCCGTGCCTGCTGTCATCAGAGACCAGGGGACAGCTGTGGGAGGGTGATAACCCCCAGGTCAACAGAAGCTGCAGCCGATAGAGTAAGCAGGGAATGAGCCCTGAAAAGCTGGGTTCCCTCTCCCGTGGCCTGGTGTGATCACATGAGCGCCAATGCCCTTGTATGCCTGGAAACATGGAGAGTATAAGCTAAGCTCCCCGACAGGGTACAGACTCAGGACATGCCCGATGCCCTGGCCCCAGGTGGCACCTCACCAACTTCTTGCCCAGCACATGGCTCCATAGGCAGTCTTCCCTGACAGTCTAGCAACCGTGAGGCTCTGAGCTCAGGGGAAGGAGACACCTCAAGTACTTAATGACCAAGTATCAGTGCTCCCTGCCCAGACACCATGAGTGGCAGATGCTCAGGACCAGGGTGAAGGCTGTCCTTGAGCATAATGGCTTGTGTGGTAGCTGTGTTCTGGGGGGGGAACCGCTGTCTCTGGAGGCAGATCAGAGTCAGGGAGTGGCAGGCAAGGATCTGACAGAAGGTCAGGCCCTAGGGCAGGAACAAGTCTACTGGGAGGGGCCGCCAGCTCCTCTAGAGACACTGTCACTCACTGCTCAGCCATATTGTGCCACTCTGACTGGTCACCTAGCATGCAAACCCAAGGCAACAATGCCTCTGCCTCAGAGAAAGGAGCCCTGGGCTTCAAGAATGAGGAGTGTCTTGGGCAGTGAGAGCAGGAGTGAAAGGGTGGGCCACTACAACAGACCCTCTGTGGAGGGTGGGGTTAAGGGACAGGCGCCCTTCTGCCAAGTCCTACCTGCCTGGACCCGCATGGCAGAGCACCACGCACAGCGTGCTTAAGGACATAAACAGCCATGTTGAGGTCTGAAGTTCAGAGGTGCGAGGTCATGATGTAGTTAAGAACCTGCTGATCCAGAAGATATCAGGGAAGGGTCTGCCCAGGTATCTCCTGGCTCCATAGTGGCAGAGATCCTGTCCTCAAGTCTGTCTGTATGTCTGTTTGCCCCTTCTAGAGGACCAGCAGCCAAAAGGGATCAATTCGACCCTGAGCGCTGTGACCTCATCCTGATGACGGTTCCATTCTGGGATGCTGGGGCCTAGGACTAACCTCTGAGAACCGGGTACCCTAGTCTTTTTTCTTTGCTGTGATGAACACCGTGGCCAAAAGTGACTTGGGGAGGAAAGGGCTTATTTGGCTTACAGGTCCCAGTCCATCGCTGAGGAATACGAAGGCAGGAGCCTGAAGGCAGAGGCCATGGATGGGTGCTGCTTATTGGCTTGTGCCTCCTCCTTTGCTCACCCTGCTTTCTTATGCCACTCAGGACCACCTGCCATTAGATGGTACCACCCACAGAGGGCTGGGCCCTCCCCCAGGGATCATTCATCAAGAAAATGTCCCAAGAATGTACCCATAGGCCCATCTGATGGGGGCAGTTCCTCAGTTGAGGTTCCTTCTTCCCAAGTGACAGGAGTTTGTGTTAGGTTGACAAAAACTAACCAGTTCACTAGGGAAGAGGCAGGACTCAGGCTGTGACACCTGCTGAGCCACTCTTAGGGTGAATGGGAGCCCAGGCACTGAGAACAGACCTTTCTTGTCCCAACCCTGCCTTGAACTGGACCTGGACATTCTTGTTGAGAACAATAGTCTCTGTGGCCTTTTGAAGCTGTCTTCAGGTGCCTGGAAGATGCCAAATCCTTTGGGGCAATGGTGCAGAGGCTTACCTAGAAGAGGGAGGCTGGGACAGGCCATCAGCTTCACCTTCTACCCATCCAACTGTCACTCTGCCTCCCACAGGCTATTCCCAGAAGCCTTAGCCTTTGGGCTTTCTCAGTGTCCATAGTTCTAGGAAACAACTCAAGGGTGCTGTTCCCCAAGAGACACTCTGGGCTGCTGGCTGTCCCTTTCTCCTCGTACTGTTTGCACAGGTGCAGACCTACCTAGAGGCTCTGGGGTCAGAGCCAGCCCCAGCCCTGGCACACTGAGGAACTGGGCCCCTGCTGACCCAAGAACCTCTGAACCACTTGAGGGAAGACAGTAATGTCAGGAGACTAGAAGGACACTTTGCCGGACCAGCCACCAGACACGTGGCTGGAGGGTCCCACCAAGGCTCCCATGGAAACCTCAGCCCCAGGCAATGGTAACAGAGGTCTGGCTGAGGCCTTTAACAGTGAGTACTGAGGGCTCTGTGGGGTCTCTTCCCCTCTGTCCAGGTGACACGCTGAGCCCAGACAGGACCCTTCGGGCTCCCTGCTTGACAAGCGGCCCTCACACGTGTGACCTGCACCTAGAGCTGAAGAAATTTTTGTTCTTTATGAATCCCAGCCTCAGTTATTCTGCTGTAGTGACAGAAAGTAGCAAGGAGGCTCACCAAAGTCTAGCTTCCCCTACTGGGTGTCAGCCGAGCCCCCACACACACTTCCTGTCACACTTGCTCCTCAGTCCCCAGCACACCAGAATTTCCACCCCCAGGGCTTTGTCCTCACTGTTCCCTTCTCAGTCCAGGAACTCATTGTGCTCTCTCCCTGGTAGCAGCCCTGTCAGAAAGCCCAGGATGTCTCTGTCCCACTGATCCTTGGGACGATGTTGCCGCTCTGCCTGACACTCAGTTTCCCTTAGTGTGTCCGTCCGACTTCCTCCTGGGCTGCAGGATCAGCAAGGGCTGTGGAACCCAGGCTCTGTGCCCTCGGCCAAGTGACTCAGGGACACAAACCACAAGTAGGACAAGTCTCTCCCAACCCTCAGTATGGATGGATGCTAGGAAGCTACTCTCATCACCGTGGAATTGAACCCCTCCTGGACCTTGAGGTCAAAGGGCGTCGGTCTCCCAGGAGAGGGTGGTTGAGGCCATGGTTCCCGTGGCCCTGGAGTCTTCCAGAGGAGGCTTCATTCCTGCCACTGTTGTCCCTGATTCATAGGCTCTGTCCACCGTCCATTGGCTACAGGATCCACAAAGCCCCAAGATGCAACAATGGACTCCTCAGTCACCCAAGCCATGCCACTCAGGGTCCTCCTCTCTGGAACCTTCTGGATCCAGGGCCATTCTCACTCCCAGCCTGAGTCCCGCCTTTTCTCTTTCCCTCTGGTCACTGGGCTTTATTCCTTGAAAGACAAATAGGTCATTTGATATTTGACAGAAAGAGAGTGACAACCTGAGGCCCTGAAAAGCCAAGGCACTGTGAGGACCACGGTACCTGGTCCTCCCCCTACCCAGAGCATTGGGATGCACAGAGGACTAAAAGCATCTCCCTGTCTGGGTGTCCTAGGGTGTGCCGACCACCACTGCGGGCATCCTGACTCCAAAACGCTGTCCATACTGATGATACTGGCTACCAAATGTGCCCCCGTCTTCCCTCGGCAAGGTCTAGAAGCTCTGTGTCTGCACGCTTTCTGCTGACCTCACAGGGGCTGTTGCCTCGGGGAGGGGCAGGTGTGAGCAGAGGCGCTGGGAGGTGCAAGCTCGAACCCTGCAGTCTGGACCTTCACGGCCTCCCCATAGCTGCAACTCTGAGGAACGGGATGGAGAGAAAGGAGAGCATGAGCCTTCCTGCAGGATATAGGGCTTCGAGGGTCACTGGAGAGTCCACGGAAGCTGGCTGCAGAGACGGACTCCAGAGAAGGGGGTGTTACCCAGAAAGAAGCATCCAAGTCAGGAAGAAAGACTTACCCCGGGGGAGCATGTAGGCAGGGAGGACTCACTCCAGGAGAGAGGGACCTGTGTCAGGAGGGAGGACTCACTCCAGGAGTGGAGAATCATGAGAAAGAAGAAGGGATATACCCAGGAAAGGGGACCCAGCTGCTGGCCTTTACATTGGTGGCTCGGGGTTGCTATCCAGGCCGCTTGGTGACGGAACTGAGGGCCCTGCCCAAGTTCCCTGGAGGAAGTATCCTTACCAAGTGTGAACCATCATGAGTGTGCACTGGGGGAAGGTGTGTGCACACGCAGACGCAGGTAGTGAGGCAGCACAGAAGGTCTGTCCCAGACACCCGGTTGTGCCCGGATTCTGCAGCATAGAACCTCCGAGGTCTTTGCTGGGGTCTGAGCCGGCACAGTCCTCATGGCCAGGATGCTGTGGGGTCCTGGGGTGCTTGCTCCTTCTGCAGTTTGTGATGCTCTCAGGAGAGGGCTGAAAGCTGCAGGGCAGGCCCTGGGGATTAAGGGGCTCTGGACACTTGAAGAGGACAGCTAGGTCCCCAGGGAAGCAAATTCGAGGGCTGGTGCTGCCCCCTGGTGGCCTATTGTATGGCGCTGGCCTTCAGGGACTGAGATCATCTTTTGGAAAGCATGAAAGCTAAGGTCTTCCAAGGTGGCTTTGTGACCTGAGGCGTTACTACATGTCACCCCCCCCCCCCACGAAGCAGGGCCTCTTCCCGAGTGTCCCAGTTCATCCTGGTCACTTGCCAGATTTGAATCCATCCCTCTGCTAAGTCCCAAGGCCCTCCTCCTCTTTACAGTTTAAAGGAAACTGAGGCCATGGGAGCGGCTGTCTCTAACATCCAGAACCCAAGGGCCACCCCATTCCAAAGCTGTTTCCTGCAGTGCTTCCTGCCCTGGGTCCTGGAGCCTCCTCTGTGGGGGGCGCGTGGAGGAGCCTGGGAAGGAACCAGGCTCAGCCTCGCTCTCCACAGAGAACTCTGTTCCTCAGTTACCCCCGGAAACCAAAACACACTTGTTTCTAAACACGGGTGTGGAAGTTAGGCGAGTGCTGAGGGCCAGGAAGTGTGGGATTCCAGAGGAAGATGGTTCAGTACAGGCGGGGAGGGGCCTGACTAGTGAACACTGTCCTTTCTAAAGAACAAAGACAGGAAGTGACGGAAGCGGAAGGGGTGTCAAAAAGACAGTGCCAGCATGGGTAGTCAGGAGGCAACTCTGACTTCTAAGCTTAGACCGCTGCAAAAACAAATTTCAGGGCAGGTGTGGCCGCTCACACCAGAGGCAGGGGATCTCTGTGCATCTGAGGCCTTGTCTACAGCCAGGACTACACAGCGAGGCTTTGTTTTATTAAAGAAGAAGAAGAAAGACGAGGAGGAGGACAGGGGAGAGAGAGAAGCATTCCGAGCAAACAGACCACCAGTGCAAAGGTCCTGGGGCAGAAAAGAACCTGGTAGGTATGAAGAATTTTAACAGCTCCCCCCCCCCCGCCCTCCCGTGGAGTTGAGGATGTAGATTGCTTGCCTTGCATCCACAGAGCCCTGGGTTCAGTTCCCAGGATCATATAAAGTGGGTGAGGCGGCACAGGTCTGTAATCCCACCACTCAGGAGGCGGAGGCAGGAGGATCAGGAAGTCAAGGTCATCCTACACCATTGCATAGCGAGATTGACACCCTGACTCCGAGGGTAAGTCAAAGACAGGTGAGCCGGGCAGATAAAGAGCTGGTGGGGAATGGAGAACAGAGCGGGCCTGACCTTGGGGCTGAGAAGGTCTCTGGATCGCCACTGTGCATGACTGGATCTGGGCGGGGCGTGTCGTGAATCATTTTATTTGGCCTTGCTGAAGTCCACCTCCCACTGAAATTCACGAGATCTGAAATCCCTGAGATCTGACCCTTGACAGCTCCTGGCTGGGCTTATCCTGCCAGAACCAGTTTCTAAGATACTGCTATTTGGGCCAGCAAGATGGTAAAGGCGCTTGCTGCCCAGACTAATGTCCCAAGTTCAATTCCTGAACCCACATGGTGGAGACAGACCTCTGACTCCATGTTCACACTCACTCTCACACTCACACCCTTCACATACACACTCATACAAACTCACACATTCACTCAGATAGTCACACCCACACACTCATTCTCACACTTTCACATACACACTCCCACAAACTCAAGTACACTCTCTCTCTCTCTCACGCAATTTTTAAAATTTGTTTAATTTTTGTGTACATTTGGTGTTTGGCATATATACATATACATGTATATATATGTGTGTGTGTGTGTGTGTGTGTGTGTGTGTGTGTGTGTGTGTGTGAGTCGGATGGATCCACCAGTTACAGACAGGTGTGGTTGCTGGGAATTGAACCCGGGTCCTCAGGAAGAGCAGCCAGAGCTCTTAACCACTGAGCCATCTCTCCAGCCCCCCACCACCACCACCACACACACACACACACACACACACACAGTTGTTTTAAAGGAGGCTAGAGAAACGGCTCGGCAGTTGACAACTCGAACTGCTCTTGCAGAGGACCTGGGTTTGGTTCCCAGCATCCACACAGGGCAGCTCACAACTGCCTCTGCCTCCAGCTCCAGGGGACCTGGTTGCCTCGTCTGACCTTCCTCAGGCATCTGCACACTGCTCAAAGCCATGCACAGTACATGAACATAATTTAAAATTAAATAAATCTTTCAAGCAAAGACAAACAAATAAGAGCCACTGCCACGAAAGGTGGTTCAGGACCTTGTTGAAATGCAGCTTGCTGCAGCGTGGCCTCCAGGTCCTGCAGTTCAGGTCCAACCTTCACGTCTCTGCTCACCCCCATCCCTCCTCCCTAGTGTAGATGGGGCCGTCTGCCTAGTGCCCCCTGCCCTGCACTGGTCCTGGCGTCTAGATGACTCCTTCTGCCGGGTTTGGAGAGGCCACCAGGGACTGAGCTCAGGTTGTGGAAGACTTGAGAGCTGAGGCCACGTCACCGTCCCGCAGGAAAAACCCAGTTTCCGCAGGCTGGGGATAACATGTCAAGTTCCTGTGACTACCCTCATGATGGGTGTGGCTTCTTACAGAGGAGGAAACTGAGGCACAGAGAGGTGAGTGAGTCCAGCCCTCTCTCTGGGGGATACCGTTGGTAGGAGCCATGGCCCACAGTCCTTGTCCTCAGCACAGAAAACCACACACAGTCATTATCTAATTCCTGCTCATTCCAGCTCTCTTTTTTGCTCCTGTGTGTGTGTTTGTTGTGCACGTGTGTGTTCCTGTGTGTGCACATACATGCGTTTGCTCATGCATGTGGAGACCAGGGGTTGATACTGGCAGCTCCCTCAACACCCACTTTGTTACCAAGGCAGGGTATCACACCGTGAGCCTGGAGCTGGCCAATTTGCCCAGCCTGGCCAGCCAGCTTGTCCCAGGATGCTGCCTCCACATCCAATGCGGCGACATCCAATGTTTGGTTGACACGTGATTCTCCCTCATCTGAGGGGAAGGAGGGCAGGGGGCTATGTCACCTCCGACCACTCTGGCCCCAGCACCCAACCCAAGCCTGGCCTGTGTCCGGTGCTCAGCTAGTTTGCCCACCCTGAAGGGTGACTGAAGGAACGTGCAGGGGACACGCATCTTGCTGTGCGACTGGACCTCCCATCATTCCTACAGAGGAAGACTTTAACAACAACAAACGATGTCTGGCTCATGGCTACCAACCACGCTCTCACTCTACCTCCACTGTCTTTCCCTTTTGCCTTGGCTACCAGAAAGCCCCCATCCTTGTGTATGGAGCTGAGTTAACTGGGGGCTGAGTTATCGCCCCTGGCAGGGGAGCTATCTCTCCTCCAGGCTTCCTGACCTCCTTGCTCCCTCTGCCTCTGCCATCTCTGAGGCAACTGACAGGAAGGGAGGGGAGGGAAAGCCACACCCCCTCTCGTGATTGCCCACCTGGCCTCCCTGTACCTCCAGGAGCCAGCTCCAGCCTCTGCCAAGGCCACGCAGATAAGATCTGAGCTGATAAGGGCCCCATTCACCCCAGAGAAGGCGGCAGGGCCTCGAGCTTTCCTCACACTCTCCTGGCACTGGGCTTGCTCGGGAATAAAAATACCAGGTGTGGGTGGGTGTGAAAGTCTGGAGAGACTTCCCAGCCTGGCACCGTCAGGCCAGGAGCACCTCTCAAAGGTAAAGAGTGACAGGAAATTCCATCCAGTCCCCACCCAGTGGGAGAGGTGGCCTGGGGAACCCAAGCAGGCTGGGTCTGTCTGTCTGTCTGTCCCTCTCCTTCAACATCTGCCAGGCCTCGAGTTTTCCATCTGTAAAATGGGATGACCAGGAGGGCTGGGCTCCAGGGCCCACTGGAGGTGCTGTGAAGGGTGTGGTCAGTGCTGCCGTGCTCGCTCTCTTTCTCTCTCTGTGTGTCTCTCTATGTCTGTCTCTGTCTCGCTCTGATTTACTGGCTCTAGACAGCTCCTACTGCCCCCAAACAATTCTGAACCCTGTTTACACTGTGCCTTTCTCAACTGGTGATGCCCAGTTTCTGCTGAGGGATCTCAGGGCCCACGATACACAGCTTCTAGAAGAGACCAGGCTGAGCTAGTAGTGACAGTGAACTGAACTTTCTTCCAGACAACCCCTTTGCTGGAGGGCAATGGCTTCTTAACCTCCTCTGTCCTCACCACACCCCCTGAGGCTTAGAAGGGTTCATTTCTCCTCAGCTATGTTTTCTGGCTTCTGGCCTCAGACCTGAAGAGGAGCCCTGGACAGCCCGGGCCTGAGTTAGCTCCCTTCTGCTCCCATCGTGCCAGCCAATATCCCCACTCATGTGAGAGTTTTGACCAGCCCAACTTCAGTGCCTCCCAGCAATGCCCTCTGCAGGTGTGGGGGTCCAGGCTCCAGCTGCAGAAAAGTGGGTACATCTCAGACCCTGACACCCAGCTGCTGAGCCTGGTCTTCCCTGCCAGGGAACGATGCTACTCATGTCTCGTGGGCCATAGGAAGAGTCACAGTAAATCTTCTGTATCTCCAGAGAACAGACCATAGTGGCCCTGGTGTGGACCCCCGTGTGTGGATGCAGGTGTCCTGACCTGAGCCATGTGAGTTGTGTACTTGCAGTTTCCAAGGGTGACCTCCAGGGGGTAGCAGAGAGTCCCTCTCTCCCTTACAGGGCTCCTTCCCTGGCCCCACCTGGGACTGGAGGCTACCCCAGAGAAGACTGAGACTTCCTTTCGGCGCGCCTCTCAGCTGCCAAATACTGTGCTGCCCACTGCTGGGGTCGCCCAGCCTCAGAGGTGAAACACCTGGAGGTGATAGGGAGCCAGGCTGGGGAGCAGGCGGACCTTGGAGCAGCCAGGGCTTGACAAGTGATCAAGGCAGGTCAATGGGGAGCCTCAGTACGGCACCACAGAAGGGCTAGGAAGGGGGCCAAGAGATCAGGATTTACAGTGAGGCTCTCACAAGTTCCACCAGGGTCTGGAGCCTGCTTGAGCCTCAGCTTCCCCTTCTGCACACAAGGACTCGGGGAGAATCCAGAGGTCTCAGGGCCCCAGCTGGGTAGGGAATCTTCTGCTAGCCTTGGGATGTTGAGGTCTACCCAGGAGGCTCATCTGGAAATGTGGCAGAGGACCTAGCCAGCAGCCACACAGCTGGCAGCCCACTCACTTCTGCTACTCAACAAGCCCACCAGCACAGGGGCCAGACAGGGGTGTCCCAGTGACTGTGGTCTCCATGTGGTCACTGATGGAGAAGCAGCCATCCGCCCCCGGGCCACAGCCACAGCTCAGGATGCTGTGGATTGCTGAGGAAGCCAGGTCTGCTTCGTGACAAGCGTGGTGTGAGCTCCCTGCCAATCTGATATTAGCTGCTGCTCCCTCAACCCCAGGGTCATGAAATCGGCCAGAGACTCAGCTGTGACCCCCACCCCAGCTGGCCTCCGTTTCCCATCTGGGAAGTATGAGACTGCTCTCAGCTAGACTATCTCTTCAGCCAGGTCCTGCCCTCCTCTAGAGTCTGCAATGACCCCCTAGTACCCCGTGGCCAGCGAGCTCTGGGGCTGGGGCTTCATGCCACCTCTTTGTCCTGCATGAACACACAGAGCATGCTCAGTGAAAGTAGCTAGGCTTCTGGGGAACAGTGAGCTGGAATGCCAGCTGTGTGGACTCTGAGCCAGGCTAAGGGCTGAGAAGGAAGGTGCTAGCCACACCCCAGAGCTAAGCCAGCATGGTGCAGCAGGGAGCTGGCCTGGGTGTGTGCTGTGCCCACGCATTCCAAGGAGGAACGTTTCTTCCTCTGGTATGTATTGTGCACCAACTGTGTGCCAGGTATCGCTGAGGGTGAGCAATACCCAGGCTTCGCCCACGTGTAGGTCCCTTCCATGCCTGCAGTGGGAGGTACGGCTCCAAGCAGCAATTAAATGCTCAAGTAGAGACCCCAAAAGGGATCAGGGTCCACCATGCAACCACCCACAGGGTCCCATGGGTACAGGCTGCTAGGAACAGCTGTTATCTTCTCCATCCAGGTGCTGTGTCTGCAGGAGGCTCAGCCACAACCTCTCCACAAGTGCAGGGAGCACCAGATCCCCTAGGAGTCCCCCGCCTCGGTTTTCTATCCCCTAAATTGCCCCCTCACCTGGTGCTGGCTAGTTTCATGTCAACTTGACCCAAGCTTAAGTCATCTGAAAGGAGGGAACGGCAACAGAGAAGATGCCTCCGTCAGATCCAGCTATAAGGCATTTTCTCAGTTAGTGGTGATGGGGAGGGCTGGCCCGCCCCATCCCCAGGCTGGTGCCATCCCTGGGCTGGTGGTCCTGTGTTCTATAAGAAGGCAGACCGAGCAAGCCATGAGGAGCAAGCCAATAAGCAGCACCCCTCCATGGACTCTGCATCAGCTCCTGCCTCCAGGGTCCTGCCCTGTTTAAGTTCCTGCCCTGACCTCCTCATGAATGAACTATGATGCAGAAGTCTAAGCCAAATAAACCCTTTTCTCCCCAATTTGCTTTTGTTCATGATGTTTCATCACAGCGAGATTAACCCTGACTAGGACACACATGCGGCACAGTTGGCCCTGGTCCAGACCCCGGCATCTCCTGTTTCACCGTGTTCAGCTGGGCTCTCATGTCCTCCCTGTAGCCCCAGTGACTGGAAGCAGCTGCAGCCATAGCTCTCCATCACAATCTGCCATCCCTACTCCCTGGCTCTTCAACCCCCTGTCCTCCGTCCTGTCCTGCATCTCTCTCTACCTTCCTTCATACTGCCCCAGCTCCAAGAACAAAAGAGAATCAAGGTTTCCCACTGCTCTGGCCTTCAGGTGTGACCTTCTCTTCTGTCCCCCCTTACAATGTGGAGGGGACAGCTTTGTTTCCCTTCCTCCCAAGTACCCTCTTGGAAGGGCTAGAGGAGACCTGTGATGGAGTTGAGCAGTGCCCTGTCCCACACACAGCCCTCAGCCCCCACAGTGGCCTGTTACTACCTCTGGTTCCAGGAGAGGCACAGCCACTGGTTAGCTTCTGCCGGCCACAGCAGGGCAGGCTGGAGGAGGACCAGGCTTCCTGGGGACACAGAGGAGGCTCAGTAGCCCTCCCGGCTGGAGTGGGCAGGCTGCTCGGCTGATTCATTCTGAGAGGGGGATGATGACTCTGACGCCCTTACCGGAGGGTGAATGAGGTGGTGGGGCCTGTTGTGAGGATGGAGGTCTCTCCCCTAGGGTGTCACAACCCCATGAAGGGGAAGATGGACCTTAGTTCTGTCCCTGTCGGCACAGAGCCAGCCTGTGGTCAGATCTGCCCGTGAGCCTCCCCTGCACAGGGTGGCTCGGAGCACCCATCCTTCGGCAGTGCTCCCAGCTCCCCATCATGGACCTTAGTGGGACAGCTACTGACACATCACACAGGGGCCCCTCTCCAGGGCTGCCGCTGGGGGAAAATGGCCGGCGCCGTATGTCAGAGATGTGGCTCATGCCCACTAGAGGCCAGAACGTCCTTGGTACCTCAGGGTCCTTGGTACCTCAGCTAGGAGGGCAGCTGTGGTTCCTGGCTGCTTACAACTGTCACAACCTACTTAGGATAGAAACCGAAGATGGACAGGGGACTTCCACCAGAAGGCCACCGGGACAACTTCCCGTAGGAACCGGTGCTAACTTAGCCTACTGGCCCAACGAGAAACCGAGTCTCAAAGTGTGAATTGAATTAGCTAGCTCAGAGCTGGCTGTGGCAGGGCTCTGAGGCCCCTGCTGTGCCCTTGGTAGCCTCCCTGCTTCAGAGGGAGCTCCTAGTTTTGGGGTTGGGATTGAGGAGACAAAGAGAAAGAGAGAAGTAGTGAGACAGGAAGGTGGTGAGCCCAGAGCACTCTGGGAGCTCAGAATCAGCAGTTGCTGGGGCAGGTCCAGCAGCCAGCCCCTTCCATGTCTGAAGAGCCTGGGGCAGGGGGAATGGATGGGACAGACAGATAGACAAGTGCTGCCCATCTGGAGTGGGAGGGTCCATCGTGGTCAGGTCGAGGGCCAGGGATCTTATGGGTCCCTATTCCCTGGCTCCTAGGCTCAGAACGTCTGGCAGTGAGGTACACGCTTCTCTCCCAAAGGATCAGATGCCACCGAGTCTGGACACTTTGAGCAGCACTGCTGATACTCACCTTGCAAGCCAGAGGCCCCTCCAGGAACTTTGCTAGAGGGAGAGAGAGCCCCAGGGGTCGGGCACCTACTGCTGGACATGTCCTGGAGGCAATGGGGACCAAAGCTACCCATCCATTGCCCAGATGCCTTTGGGGACCTTGAAAGGAGGCCTGGAGAGTCCCATTTGAACACTGACGCTGGTGTCAGACTCACAGAGCAACAGCCGTACACAAATGATGCTGCGTCTGACTGTGACATCACCTCAGCCCCATCTTCACTCTAAGGGCCCAGTCTTCCCTCCTACATGGGGGCAGTGACCTCTTCCTTTCCTGTGTCCTGACAGCTTTTCCACTGTGCACAGTGCACCACAGAGCCTCCTTGCTGTCTGCGGAGGTCACAGGGCGGGACCGAGATGAAGGACTTGCCCAGCCTGTGGGAGGTGCTCGGCCATGTTTACCCAGAAAGTGACCCCCTCAAGGCATCATTGCCTAGTACAGAGACAACAGCCTGAATCCCTATGTCCCTTGGTACCAGTCTGGTACCAGTGTGGTCCTAGCCACCACACCCACACTGCCCTAAGCCCGCAGAGACAGTAGGACTCCACAGGGTGGGCACTACAGTTGATGCCAGGCAGGCTGGGTTCTGACGAGTGTCCTTTACCCTGGCCTGACAAAAGCATCCAATGACCAATAGCCTCTTGGATCTCTTTCGTGGGTTCCTTCAATGTCCCTGGTCTCCTAGGCACACCTTACCAGCACCAGGCTCCTGCCACAGGCCCTTTGCACACACTGCTACCAGGATCTCCATAGCTACACACACACATACACACACACACACACACACACACACACAAACACACACACACACAAACACACACACACACACACACACACACACACAAACACCTACCAGTCACCTGAAAACCTATTTACTGTCACAAATATCTCATCATGAACATGTCTTACAGTTGGCAGGCTGCAGCTTTGGGCCTAAGCCAGACACACACGGGGCAAAAATAGCTTAAGGTGGTTAGAAATAAGTCAGAAGGAAGACCATTTCGTAGAAGCTTAAAATGATGCTAAATTCAAATGGGCATCCCTTGCCACAGTTTGAGTGACACAAAGCAGCCATTCTTTTACACTGTGCACAGGACTGCTCTCCCGATACAGTAAATAGGTGAGTAGACACATCAAGACTGTGGGACCCCAAAAAACCTGGAGAACCTCTCCACCATGTGTTCATCCAAGGACAGGTATCAGAGGCTCATCTCCCCAAGGACTAAGCAGACGAATTGTCCCACAAGGAGGCCTTGTGGCCACTTACATAGGCTCTGGATTTGAGCCTCAGTTCTGTGACTGCTCTATGCCTCAACTCCCCCTCTCCTCAAACTTCCTTCTTTGACAGCTAGACCCTGTAAGGCAAGGCACGGGAAGGGCTCAGGTGGTCCACTCCTATCTGAGCCGAGCATGTCTGCTTCTAGCAAGAAGAGCTCTAGCCTGCTGGTCACCCTGCTTCTGCCTTGTTCTGTCTGCTGTCTGCCATCCACCCTGCCCCAGCACGTCTTTCACAAATCAAATCAAGTCAGTCTCTCCTGAGCTCGGAAGCTCCCAGGCTCCAGCCCATTGGCACCAATGCCAACGGGCATCCAATGGCCAGAGATTTCCCAATATCTCTCATGCATTCTCAACCTTAAACTACAGAGGCCTCTGGCCTCTGGCCAGTCTTTGCCTGAATCAGGCTCCTGCTCTGGACCTTCACCCATGGCTCAGCAGGTCCTCTGAGTCTCATCCCTCCTTTTCCAGTCTTTTCTCAGAGGTCACCTGTCTGGTGAGGCCCAGGAGGTTCCTTGCCTAGCTCTCTTCACCATGCAGCCTCAGATTCTCCCAGTTCGCCGTCTGTCTGGGACACGATGTGCCTAGCACTCATTCTTAGGGCAAAAAAAGAGGTAAAATCTGGTGACTAGAACAAGTCCTTTCTCCTGGGGCTGGGGATGTGGCTCAGTGGGTGGTGAATCTGCCTAGCATGCCTTAGCACTCAGGCGCTAGAGGCAGGGAGATTCAGTTCAAGGGGATCATTGGTTACTTAGTAAGGTGGCTACTAACCTGGGCTAAACAAGACAGCAAAACAAGCAGCAAGCTGCCTCTCCTGTGGAAGATAGTACAGCTCACAGAGGCCTGTGGCACAGCAGACCGTGCAGGGCCAGCGCTGAACTCGGACTCCAGAGTCCCTGTTGTGCCTGCCAAACTCCCTCGCACTGTGCTCTGGGCATGTGAGAACAAGGGCACAGTGGGGAAGCAAGAGTGCCTGGTGGAAGGTGAGTTTAGGTGATCCACGGGGTGGCATTAGGAACGTCTCTCTAGACCTCAGACATGGGGTTCAGCTGGTTACTGTTGGCTGCTTCAGCAGGAACCTACTGAGAGCTTCTGGAACCTTCTATGAATGCTACCAGGGCCATCCCACACTGGCTGCATATTGAACTCCCAGTGCTGGCCCCTCCTGTGTTTCCCATTGCCCTCCAGCAAGACGGTGGGACTGTGAGTTTCATAGGAAGAGAGACTGAGGCTCAGAGGACAGCCAAGGCCTAGGGCGAGGATCCAGTCCCAGCTTGGTGACTTCCAACTCATGGTTTCATCCTCTCTCTCTCTCTCTCTCTCTCTCTCTCTCTCTCTCTCTCTACATTGTTGCTGGTAGCAGCAAGGCACACAACATAACCAGAAGCTCCAACAACCAGTGAGATATGGGCTCACCAGTGTCCTCTAAAGGTCCTTTCTGCTCACCTCACCTACAAAAGCCCTGGGGACCCTAGCTCATCCCTATCTCAAGGTGGCCTCTGCTTCTACCACCCACACAGAGTTCCCACAGCCCTAAGCTGCTGAGCTGGGACTGGCATGGCGCCAGGATTTCTGCAAGGAAGGAATCCAGCTGTCCCCAGGACCAGGCACCTTCAGAGAAGCCAACTGCCTTGTAAAAGCATAAAGCAGTGACTGGCAGCGAAGGCCTGGAGATAACGCCTGGCCATCAGATAAACCGGCAGCACTGGCCTCCAGGCCAGGCTGGCCCAGGGTGCAGTGGGGCCCGACCAGGCTTGGGCTTTCTCAAGAATGACAGATAAGGGGACAGAGCTGGAGACAGGGAGGAAAGGTGTTGAATGGGGGTCTGTGTGGGAACTTTGAGACCTGGCAACACAGTTGGGCTTAGGCCACGGCTTTTTTCCCCCTCGGATTGCCAGGCCCTGTGTGGCTCTGGATTTTGTCTGTCCCCTCCCCAGAAACACCACAGGATATGCCTGTCCCATCAGCTCCAATGGGTCCATCCATCCCCGAGGGAGCCCAGGACAGGTGAGGTTAACCCATATTTCTGCACTCCACCTGT